TCTCTCTCTCTCTCTCTCTCTCTCTCTCTCTCTCTCTCTCTCTCTCTCTCCCTCCCTCTCTCTCGCTGGAGCAGAGAGGCAAAAGAGCCACATGTGGCTCTGGAGTCGCAAGTTGACGACATCTGGCCTACAACCAATTTCGTTGTATTAAAGTACAATGACAATAAAGATTATACTTATACATGGCAAACTACTTTGTGAGGCCCGATGTACCTTCAGATCTAATTAATTGTTGGGTGAACACTCATCTTGTGAAAGGGAGGAGAAAAGAGATTGATTAGTCTATATATGATTTGTATATTTGCTGTACAGGTAATCCTTGATTTACAACCCCAATCGGGAACAAAATTTCCACTGCTAAGAAAGGTCGTGATTAAGAGAGCCGCTCCCGATTTTACAATCTTTTTTTTTGCCACGGTTGTTAAGCGAATCACTGCCATTGTTAAATGAATCTTGCCATCGTTAAAAGAGACTCTAGCTTTCCCCAATGATTGCTCATCGGAAGCTGTCTGGGAAGGTCACAAAAATAATCCCAAATATTGACAGTAATAAATACATGTGGTTGCCAAGTTCAGATTTTGAACATGTGACTGTGGGAATAGTTGTAAGCGTGAGGACCGGTCTTAGGCCACTTTTTTCAATGCTGTTGTAACTTGAAACAATAGTAAATGAATGGTTGTAAGTTTAATACCACCTGTACACAGTGTAGACTCTTTAGAATGGGATGGGTTAAATAGATAAATGAATAGCAATTTAATTTCTAGGGCACACACACACATACAGATGCTATAGAATGCAATGCCCGATGACTCTAAATCAGGGGTGGCAAACTCAAGGCCCGGGGGCTGGATCCAGCCCGCGGGGTACTTATATCTGGCCCACGGGGCTGCCCTGGAAACAGTGAAAGACCAGCCCGTGGTGTTTCTGCCACCAAAAACGGGCTCCCGAATTCTGATTTCACTGGCAGATTGTTGCAGGAGGCCGTGGCAGTCGAAAACAGAGCTCGGGAGCCTGTTTTCATTGGCAGAGCACTCGGGCCACCACAGGCGCCCTCGACAGGAGTGACGTCAAGCTGGCCATGCCCACCCCCGGCCACGCCTCCCCTGCCCCCTGAGGTCAAACAGAACCCTGATGCGGCCCTCAATGAAATCGAGTTTGACACCCCTGCTCTAAATCATTTTTCTATAACTTCAGCCCACCTAGCTTAATTAAGACTTTGCATTCATGATCCAATGATGAGCTCAGCATTGGCTAGTGAATCTTACCGTACAAAGCTTTTGCGCTTGTCTTTGAACTCTGATCCTTGTCCCTTGAAGAAAATGTTGGTGATCCATATCCACTGCAAGGCAAGAAAGAGGTCGGATGTTTAGGTGCGCCTTTTTTCTGGAACAGTCAATCAATATACAACCAAGCGAAAATTCAAAGACTAACTGCACTGGGTGCAGATTTCAATAATATAAGGATTTTGGCTTTCATGCTTCCAGTTCACATGGATCAGCTTAGCAAGGGTGAAAGAATACACATAAAGTGTTCTAACCCAGGCTTCCTTAGAAAGCAAGAAGCAAAGTCTTGGTCCCGACAAAACCTCTTTTATTTACACAAGTGGGAATTCCTTTCATTCAGTCAGCAAGGCTTTAGCAGTCTTTCAGAGGAATGTTTATCCACACGTACCTTATCTTGTTTACAGCGCTGCCAGGTAACTAGTTTCCAAACACAGGACAAAGCAAAACTTGGCCCAGAGTTTCTTGTAATCACAAACAGAACTTTCCAGACCGAATGAACAAATTGTTTACTGCAAAAGGCTCACTCCCCATTCATTCCTCTTTCGTTTTCTCTGGGAGGGGCCAATCACCTCCAAAGTGTGGCTTTACTCTTAAGTCAACCCTGCTTTCTTAGTTGTTTTCTGGCAGCACTGTACATGTGCACACTGGGAACAGGCTCCAGCTGTTCCTCTGCTTCACTGCTGTTTGGCTCCCTCTCTGCCTCCGACGCAGAGCCCTCGTCTGAGCTTTCCTCAACTCCCAGGACTGGCCCATGTTTCTCCCCAACCTCCTCACTGTCTTACTCTGCTGCCAGCTCTGCTGGCCATCGCTGAGCCACAACTGAAAGTGGTTGCTGAGCAGAAATTTTAAAAACTAGGAATTATATCTCGCCATTCAGCTATTTAAAAGATTTAATTTTTTTTTTTTTGCAAATGAATGGGTATGCCTACTCAATCACCAGACAATTTAAGAATCAACTCAACTTCAAAGAGATGGAGTCATAATGTGCCCTAAAACTATGTTACAAGATTACTTTGGATCTGGACCTGGAAAAAAAACCTAAATAAGGACAGTGTGGTATAATTCCTCTGATGTAATCTAAAATAAACTATATTTTCTAAATGGCTCAAAGCCAACTAGGAAGAAGAGTTGGGGAGCAATCAGAAATTCTTAAATTGTC